GGGGGGGAATCAAAGAAGCCACAGCGCCACTTGTACCCTGGCAGGAGACGGATCAGACCAACCTGTGTTCTTTATCACGTAAAATAAATGCCCAGTTCAAAATATCACTTCTTACTGGACCAAGTTTCCCCAAATGACCACGCACCGTATCCCTGGCTCCTGGCTTCTGTTTTTTTTATTTTTTCCGTCCCAGGTCCTTTCTCCTAATGCTCTGACTTACTTATCAGGCCTGTCCTGGCATCTCTCATCTTCCCGGGTCCCTTCGCGACTTGTACCTGACATTGTCCTTTCCTTGCCATTCTTTCTTGTGGTCCACGTGCCATCGTCGCTTTGTAACGAGGCCCAGAACTTTCGCCGGGGTCTTTGGCCACTTTCCGGGGTCGATTCACCCCGCTCCTGAGAAGTGGGTTCGTGAAGCCAGGCCACACACATTGTGTTGCCGTCAGAGGCTGGGCCGTTTCCATTCCTAAGATGCATGATGCTAAAAATAGCCGGGTGGTTTCCTAATCTGTGTGCAGAGGACTGGTCTATGTTTAGCCTTTGGGAGGGTTGGCAGCCGGAAGTAAGCGGAGGTGGAGGAACCGCTCACCTTGCGGTGCTCAGCCTGAGAAGCGGGGCGGCCAGCGCTAGGGGGCGGTGTAGAGCTATCTTCCCGCGCATGGAAGGTTCCAGGATGCGAGGGTAACAGGTGGGTGCTAAGGAAGATCCCCGGGGAAAGTGAGCGGCTTTCCTGGAACTTTCCCCTCTTTTTGTGGCTTTCAACTTTTCCACTCCGTCATGCGGGCATTTTTTTTTTTTTTTTTTTTTTTTTTTTGCCTCTTACTGAATTATGGTTGGTTTCTGATTGCCCTGTTGCTTTTCTCAATGCAGATGAGAGTCTAATTCCCCCAGTACAGACCCACCTGAGGGTACCACACAGAAAACGCCATTCACCCAGTCTGTGCACTGCGTCATATTCAGAAAGCTCTTCAAAGAAGTGCTAAATGTGAGATGTCCAAATTGATCTGTTGTGACAGTCGGAGATCATTCTGTCCACCGTTGACCACCCCCCGCCCTATGGATGGTTACTCTCTTCCCTGGAGAATTCCAGAGTCTCCTGTGGGGTTGACTCCATCAGATCCCCAGGCCTGCTCAGTTTCAAAATCAACTGGGTGTCCTGAGCCCTGTCAAACATGGAAATTGATTGCTCTAACCGATGCTGGGCACTTGGATTTAGACTGGCAAGGGAGGCACTTCAAAATTAGGTGTGAGGGGTCAGTGTCACTTACCCTGTTTTAGTTACTTGTTTCTCTCCTCAAAACTCTGTTGCAGTTCTTGCCACTTTACTGGAAAAATAATTTCATCCTCCAGTACTATGAGGTGCCTTTGTGTCTTTTTTTTTTGGCCTCGCTGCGAAGCTTGTGGGAGCTTAGTTCCCAGACCAAGCATTGAACCTGGGCTCCGTGAGTGAAAGGGCGGAGCCCTAACTAACTGCTGGACCACCAGGGAACTCCCACCTTTGTGTCTTTCATTCTTAATCTGACTGCTGACAATGAAGTCTCACATATCCACCAAGGATCTGCCCCCAGATTTAACGTAGAGAGGGAGATGAAAGATCAGAACGCTGACGCAGGTATGGTTTCTGGCCTGGACGCGCTGTACGGCCATGGGGAAGTGACTGTGGTCTGCATGCACTCCTTTTAGGAGAGGACTCCTCCCAGGAGATGGGTGAGTTCTGGGATGCTGCTTCCGGGCTGTAGCAGAGGGAATCAGGCGCATCTCAAGTGAAACAGAACACAGCTTACTTTGTTTACTGCGTGTGTTTAGCCCCTAAGTAGACACCAGTCACAGGGTTGTCGGTGGGATGAGGCCTCACCCACCTTGTGTCACTGGGGAGGGATTTTAATTTACCCATAGCCCTGAAACATGCTTCTGACTGTTCTCCTATTAACTGTTGTGAGTGTAGATTTGGGATATGTCTCTGTTGATTAGGGTTTTCCTTACAAACATTATTTTTAAAAATTTAAGTGCAGTTGATGTATGATATTATGTAAGTTACAGGTGTACAATATAGCGATTCACGATTATTAAAGGTTATCCTCCGTTTATAGTTACTGTAAAACATTGGCTACATTCCTGTGTGGTGTAATATATTCTCGTAGCTTATTTTCAACATAATAGTAGCGTACCTTCTCATCCCCATCCCAGATTGCCCCTCCCCCTTCCCTTTCCCCACTGAACATCGTTTATTGTTTGCGCACTTGTCCTCAAGGGCTTCTGTGGCCTGTGCGGCCATTTCCTCTGGGGACAGACGGTCCCCTGGTAATGCCTCGCTCAGTACGTGTGTCTTGTGTTTACG